CTACCAAAATTAGAATCAGTAGAAGTTGGCTATTTTTAGGAAACGGAATTTTTATATAACAGTGGCTTATATATTTTGTTGTAGATTTAAAAAATATTTAAATTATAATATTGAGTATGGATTAATCTTGATTTTAGGTAGTATGTTCTTTGGATATACAAATCAATAAAGTTGGGAAAGTTGAGTTCTAAATAAATCATAGATATCCAAGATATCAAATTTCAACATGGATCCTAGCAATACAAACATATTTCATGATATACAAAATTTCAAGTTAAGGGAAGTTGAAAACTATAAATCTTAGATAAGCCTCAAACAAACCCGTGATATACAAATTGTATTTATAAACTTCTAAAGTTTTGCTAAAAGTATAAACCTTTAATATAAAAAAATGTTCTGTGACTCGATTAAATAGCTGTCGGGACCACAAAAATCCAAATTATCTGTGGAGTGCCGTATCCCCCGGCAGGACTTTACCCCCCCGATCCCGTTGGCACCCACTTTGTGGGCTGTTCTCTGCGTTTGTCTGCGGCCTGCATTTTTCGCCCTTTTGCGACGATACAAGTTTTGCATTGGCAACATTTTTTTGTGTGTTTGTCGCCGCTTTTCCCATTTTCCGGCGCCCCTCGGCCGTTGAGGAATTTTCCGCCCTTTGTTTTTGCGCCAGTGAAAAGCTCCTGTGGCCTAAGTCCGCTTGTATTTGCCAATTTTGTGTGCTGCCCACAACAAGGACATCAGTGGCAGCAGCAGGAGCAGCTAGGGAAACAGAAACCAACAGGAGGAGCAGAACTGCAAGGACCTCGGGGCTAGAGGGCAGGACGAAGGGAAACTAATTTCTTCCCGGGATTTGGGCTTCTTTTGTATCGCCTGGGCATTTCGGTTGTGTTTGTGTGTGCGTGGCTCGCGGCTGAGTTTAGTTTTTCCCATTGTTGTGAGGGCTTTACTCCAGTTTTTCCTTGTTTGCCATCGCTGTTGGCTAGCTTGTTAGCCAGCCAGTTGCCCAAATGCCATTTCCTGTCCGCAGGGCAAAATATTTAAATTATTATTTTCGACTCTGCCGAAGAAAGGCAAATTTGATTAGGAAAATAAATGCTACCCGGGGGACTTAACATGCCATTCCAATTTGAGCCAATTTACCCGTACATGTTTCCACCAGACACACACTTTCACCTGAGCGGTGAGAAAATCGGAAATCGTTGGGGCCAAAAAATAATAAAAATTTATAAAAAACGATTTCGGGGATGTTGAGCTGCAGATGATGCATTTTCTTGTTAATTAGTTGCAGTCTGTTTATGCTGAGTAATTTATGGCTTCTGCTTTCGGGTCCACTACAAGCACTGAGAAAAAAGGAGCACATTTATCACTAAACTAAAAAATTTGTAATATCGTAAGCTATACTAATTTTAAACACTAAAGAAAAATACATTTAAATCAATCATATGTAAAAATAAAAATTGGTTTAATACGCATTTTTTGATTTGAAGAAACACAAAATAATATAAACATCTAATACTCTAGTTTTTTAATGTCGCACTAATTTTGAACTATTAACAAAAATTGCAAGAAATGATATTATATTTTATCTTTACAAATACATAAATATCCTAAATAAATGGATTTGATGTAAAATTTGTTTGCTTAGTCCCTTTGTTTTCCCTTTCAGGGATTTTTTCAGGATCTTATGAAATATATATTAGATTTATATTTATATATAAAGAAGTGTTACATATTTTATACCCATAATTACTTCGATGCAGATAGAAATATAATATTTTTGTGATGTAGTTACAGTTCTAACACTTTTTTCTCCTGGTGCACTTAATTATCCACATTTTCCTTGTGTGTAAGGTTCAGAGAGGCGTGAGGTCAACGTCTCACTGTCTTGTGTCTGGATATCCGATATAATTTACATTCAATTTCCATTTCCAATCTGCGGTCGCGGCACCCGAGGCACATGTGTGTGTGTCGCCTCCCAGAACTCCAGATGCCGTCAGATGCAGTTGCCCCCAACCCCACCTTCTCATCCTCCTCGCCCAATCAACCCCTTGTAAGGGAAGATACTATGTGGTATGGTATGCTGTGTTGCCCCTGTAAACAAAACATTCATCAAAATTTTATACACTCAACATGTGCCACGCCTGACTGCAGTTCAGTTCTCCCCTCGATTTTCGCCGCGGGCTGACAATATTGTTTGTGTTTTCGGCTGCCCGCTTCGATTTTGACTGTTCTTTGAAAAATCACAACTAATTAACTTTGCCCATAGCTCGAAATTACGTGGGAGTTGGGGGGTTTTTTCGGGGAGGTGCTATATGCCCTTTGGCTTCGGAAAGCGTTTTTTTTTGGGTGGCCTGCCCTGCTCCTGGTGACCAGATGTGGGCTGCAATGATCTGGGAGCTGGCTCCAAAAAGCGGTCTAAAAATAGAAATAAACGTGTTTGGGCTGAGGTAGTTCGCCCCACATCCGGTGGCTTGATAAGAAATCTGCGCTAAATGAGGCCCATCAGCGACAGAGGTGAGTTGCACCGAGATTTACGGATATGTTTGGGGGAGCACTGTGGTTCCCATAAAATGTTGAACTTTATCTTGAAGTTCATCAGGCTGTGAAAGGGAAACTCGAAGGGAGATGATCTTAGCTCACATCGTTTTAAATATATCTGTAAATTTCACGGGAATGGTTTAAAAATATCTTAAATTGGTATGCACTTGTTTTATAGATCATTAAAACATTACAAATATTAATAACATATGGTGGAAAGAATTTAAATATTCAAGCTGTTAATGGTTCATCAAGAAAGCCTACGGAATTAAAGAAACATTTATGTTTTATTAAGATGATTAGCAAATATTCAATATAATCTAAAAAGTATGGCTTATTAAAATCCTTATAAATGCCTTGATGATGGCTTGATATAAAAAAAAGTTGAAACACCTTTCCAGGTAGAGACCATAAAAAGATGAAGAATTTATCTGCCAGTGAAAGCCACCACAAACTGCAGTGCTATTGTCTACACACTCTTTTTTCAGTCCCCAGAATTCGCAGCTTGGTATCTTCTTTCACCACTTTCATTCCATCTTCTCAGCTTATTTCGAGAAGCAAACTTTGGTTAATTGCAACAATCGTGGCCGGGCTGTGAAAAAGTTCATAAAAATGAGTAATTTCGAGCAGCTCTCGTTTGCATTCGGCGTCTGTGATTGAGGCTGCTGGCAGAGCTGATTGTTTCCTGGCGACTGCCTCCATTGTGCGGCAACTTCTGGGCAACTGTCGATGAGCGGGTAAATTGTTGGCAACTTCGGATGCCCCGGAAAACCCCATCCAGCCAAGCTATCCAACCAGCCAGCCAGCCAACCATCCAACCAGCAGGTGGCGGAGACAATGCAGAATGGAGGTATTTATTAAAACAAACTTGGGTCGAATGCGGCAGCCCCATTCTCATTTGGCCTTGGGCGAAAGTTTAGCGCAGTTTCCGCAGCTGGGGGGAGTTTTCCAGGATGCAAGTTGGCAGGCGCATAAATGTCACTTACGCGCTTCTTGACGCCACCAAGCCAGCATCATTGTGCTGTGCTCCAGTCAACTCTATTGGGGGAATTGCGAAAGTGACAATTTCGACAGGCGCCGGATGGAGCGAGTCCTGCGGGATGGCAGGTCCTGAATGGGTCCTGATGCCCCAACGCAGGCGTCTGGCCAAAGTGTAAGTGCAAATTCAGTTTGGTTTAATTTCGACGGGCTGCGGTCGCGGTGCACTCCTTCATTCTCCATTGACCAAAAGCTGTCACCATCGTCCTGCCTCCACCAATTCCCGAGAGTCCTTCGGCAGGACTAGGATCTTTATTAAGTTTTTCGCTTACTTCTCGCCAAGTGCAATGGAAAGTTTCTGCAGCGGCAAGTTTTCACTGTTTTTCCACATTTCGGCTTTTGTTTTCTGGTGCAGATTTCATCTAGCCATCCTTCGGCAAAACTTCCTCTCTGTCAAGTGTCCTCTGCAAATTTGTTGTCTATCGCCTGGCTTACGAAAAAAAAATAGGAAAAAAAATTAAATAAATCGCCAGAAGTTTGCATTGGCAGCAAATTAATATTTTCCAAATATTTGACAAACTTTTCCTTCCTTTTAAAATGCCAAGTTTAAAAAAATTATTTGCGGATTGCATTGATTTGGTGTTAGTCCTCTCTGCTGTGTTTTATGCCAAGGAAATTGAAAAAACTTTCTGTTGACAGTGCCTTAAAGTTTATGCAAAATTTTTGAGGTCACTGACAAATACGAGAGAGCTGTGTTCATTTGCGTAAGCCTAAAAATATACCAATTTATGGGAATTCTGAAAATATATACTCGAGAATCTGCTCATTTGGCTGAAACTCTTGGTTTATTTGTACTCAACTGCAGCAGGAATGCTCGATTGCATTTGAGTTATTGCTCGGAAGCAGATGACAGGACCTGACCTCTGCACTCTCCTCCTTTTTCAAACACCTCCTGAATATTTGCTCCATGTCCTTGTGCATTTCCTCACATCCCATTGGTACATATTCAATATTTTGGTATTTATCTTGTCGGACAATAAAATAAAGCAGAATTCACATGTCGTTCCTGGGGGGGGAGATTTGGAGCTGGGTACTGGGGAGGATGTGAGTCCAAGTGGGTCACTAAGGTCCTCCAGTTGCTGCTCCAGTTCCTGGGTAAATGCCACAGGAATTTACATGTTCGAATTCTCTTTAAACATTTTGTAAGCCGCTCGGTTCTTGGCCATTGGAGAACAACGTAAGCCGCTTGGATCCCTATTTTTCTCAACTCAACTCCTTTGTAGCGGGATACTTGTGCACTCAAATAAACTTTTAAAGGGTCAATATAATATACATATGGAAATCAACAATGTTTTTCATAATTTTTGTTTTAGAGATTAGATAATGCTTGACCAAACATATTAACTTGAATATAATATATACCATATAATTGACAGTTCCAATTTTTTATCAGTGTAACTATCAAATCTCAGCTGTCGTTTGTACATAACAACATATATATATTTTTCTACAATATTAAAGGGTAAGGAAATGCAGGAGAACCTGTGCCAGGAAGTCATAGCCCGCAATGTGCCGCAGTTGGTGGAATTGCTTTTGGGTTCCTCCATCGAAGGCGGTGGAAAGGTCGATGGCAAGGTGGACCGAGCCACCTTTGAGAGTTGTCATAGGTATGCCATGAATCACTTGCTGTTTCCTTATCAAGAGGGGTCCTCCCCGGAGGCCGTGTGGACCGACATGAACCACTTCATGGAACGCTATCGCAGCGAAAAGCTGGGAGAATTCGGGGAAACCTTTAAGCAGCTGGCTAGTGTGGTGCTAAATCATCCGATCTATGCGAATCACAAGGTTAAGAACCTTCAGTGGCGGATAATGGACTTTATGCTCTGTGTAAACTACAGAGCTTTTCGTACGGTCCACCACAATTTAGAGGAAATGGATAAGTATCGAAAGAGTATCCTGGAGGCCCTCACTCTGGCCAAAAAAGGTTCGGTGGTGGTTCGAAATGATGTGGAGCAGAAGGATTCCGAAATTAGTGATGTATCTGATACACCTAAGGCTGAAGACAATCTGTCTTCCAATGAAGAAACCAACTCCAATAGCCAGAGTCCCAGTTCCAAGGAGCATATCAACTCAGATAGTGCTGATAGTCCTCCAACAAATAAATCGCCGGACCCGGAACCCATTGAATCATTGAACACCTCGGAGTACAGGCGCATCCCCAGTATCAAAAAAAAATATGTGCGCTTTGCTATAGAACAAGCTAGGAAATCAAAGGAGAAAAAAATATCACCCGTCCAGGAACCCATTGAATCATTGGAAACCGTGGAGCACAGCTATATTACCGATGATAAGCCCCCATCTAACCAGATCTTTGTTAAGGAAAAGTTCGCCATGAAAGAGGCCAAAATGATGTTGAAATTGAATCTTACTCTGGATGAATCAACGGCGGAGAGACCCACAATGGTAAAGTACTTTAAGGAATCGAATGACCTATTCTCCAGAATTCGGACACCCTGGTGGCATGTGGATGTCCATGTCTTCCATCCGCCGGAAATCTTGGCCAGCAATTTTACCAAGGGTTACGGAGACTATTTGATCTATCGTCTCAGGGTAAATCGTCACTCGGTGCGAAAGATAAGCGAGGAGCACCAGTTGTTGACAGAACTGATTGTACTTTTCTTCAAATCCGTAAAGAGTGCAGACCTCCAGATGTTGGATGATAAGATGGAGTTGCGGACGGAGGAGCCAATCACTTTTGCACTCAAACATGTACTAGAAGGTCCCCACTTGGGTCAGATTATCAGCTCCCTGAAGCAGATGCGCCACCTCAGAAAGTTTGTAGAGAGCCATGTTCTGAAAATAATGTCTAGTTTTGGCTTGGAGACTCTGCATTTCTTCAGTGTTGCTCTGCGACGACTGCTTCGACCTGTAATCGAGTTTCTGGTTTATTTTGAGAAGCGTTTGAACAGTGGTATTGAAATACCTACCCTGCATCACTTTATAGATACTTCAAGATGTCATTTAGAAAGGATCCAGTTGCTGTATGATCTCTCAAAAGAAACTATTGAAGAACAGGCATCCATGAGAGCCCTAAGAGTTATAAACACGTTATTCACAAACACTTCGAAGACTACTCATCCCAAAATGCTGCGATCCTTGAGTGCATCCTTACTTCTCCACTCCTTGGAATCCTACTGTAATTTTCTAGATAGCTGGTGGTCTACAGGGGATTTCGAGGACTGGCACGAGGAGTTTCCCTACCAAAGAATCCTGATCGAAGGACGAACGGAGTACACATTGAGAAAGTTATGTGTGCCAATTGAGGAACTCCTAAGTAGTGGTTTGTTTTACATCATCCAGCGGCATATTTTTGGATCCAGTGAAGCAGTTGCCATACTATTTGATGGCCGGAAGATAAGTGACTTTAACTCCTTGCATGGAATCACTTCGCAGACATCTCTGCACGATTCATTAATATCTGGAGTTCTTGGGGAACTAGCTCCCTATCAGATAGAGAAAATAGAGGAGTTGAACTATGCGCCGGATATCCTACAGCAGTTAGAATCCTCTGAGCTGGATGCTGTACGTCGGCTGTTCTACTCCTTTCACATGGAAACACGACCGGATCCAAAAAGACCCGTCTCATTTTCGATTGATGAGCTGGTAAGAAACTTCCAGGCCTGTGTTCACTATACTCCCATTTCGGATATCATCTCACAGGAGTTGCAAAGATTACTGCACCGTAGATGTCTGTTGGCAAACTCTTATATTTCTGATGTGGTGAAGTATTTACAGATGAATAACATTGTAAGACACATTAGAACAGTTTATCTCCTCATAAACTATGACCTCATATGGAGTGAGCTTGAGTTGTTTTTTGAGTTTCTCGAGAAAAATCAATTGATAGAGGCCTCTAATAAACTAAAAGATATAGTGGTTAACCAGGATCCGCGGATGGGGTACCTGTTTCAAGTCTCTTTACCCAAACAACAACCTGAATTAATCTCTCTCATGGTCAGCCCTGATCCCTTACTTAATCGAGTGATTAGCCAGGAGCAGTTCGAGCAGATGAACATCTGCTTTCAACTAAAGTTGAACCTGCAATTGGCACTTTATCAGTTAAAAAAGTTGCCTACCTTTAATAACTCAAAGCCAGAGCGATTGGTTATTGCTCTTCGATCACTCCAAAATTCCCTAACTTTGGCACTTGAAGAGCAGCTTTTGAAATTTGATAAAATTAACCAGATTTTAAAGGACTTTTATGTCATTGAACCCGAAATAAATGAATCTACCTTTTTGATTGAGCTGAGAATAAACCAGGAACTGTTTATGTTTCGATTAAAGGAAAGAATGGCTGAAGAATTTGGAGGATTCCCATACAATTGCAGCTTGCAGGAGGTCCTTAGTCTGAGCGGAGTTTTCAGGTACCGATGGCTTAGAGTTTGGGCCCTTATAAATGACTTTGGTAGGCAGAAGGCCAGAAACATCTTTGAGATGAAGTACGATTGGTTGCGGAACAACTACCTGCAGTCCACTCTCAAAAAATGCAAGGCAATTGGTTGCGTTCTCAACCACAGATGATGTTATTAGTTCAATTTTATTATACTTATATTTTATTGTTATAAATTAAATGTTATATTTTTTATAATAAAAAATGGTAGTTGGAATTTAATAAAGTACTGTTCACAGCAAATCAAAATGGTTATTCTTTATATATATATTTTTTGTATTTGTTTGAATTAGCCAGTTAAGAATAGTATTTGTTGGCGTATAAATTCTCGTATTTAAAATATCATTTTGATATTTATTCTTCGATTATTTTCCGCAATTCCAATAGTTTGAAAATATTTCAATAAAATAATTTTAATGCCTTTGTTCAAGCTCAGGACGTATCTTAAATATATGCTCTGTTGTGACAGCATTTATCTCTGATTTGTTGCTTAATCGTTTGTTTGTTGTCCACCTTTTTTTTATCGGCAGCCCGTCCGCAAATAAGTTTTATCAATTCCCAATGGAATATCGAGTGTGCGTCGTCTGTGACAGAAACCGCAAATTAAATCGTTTGGGTGCCGGGCAAAATTTATTTCTAGCGCGTGGCAAAAGCCGCAAGCTCCACACGCACAGCACACATGCTAGGATGCTGTTTTGCAAAAAATAAAAATGGCCAAAAAAAGCGTGGAAAATTAGAGCAGGCTATATGGCCATGCCAAATCCAAAGCCAAATCACAGCCAGCAACCGAAATTATTCTGTGGATTTTGCGGCCTCAGCGGTGGGACAGTGTGGATGGGTGGTGCAACCGGGTGGTGCGGACACACGTTCACACTCCCAGCCATAAATTGCACCGACGCCTTGTTGGCCAATAAATACTAGAGTCTTGATATGCAGCGGATCCGGCGCCAAGTGCCATAAACTTCCGTGTCCTGTGGCCGGGGGGGAATGGCTAATTAAAGTTTGTGCCGCATTTTCAAATTAAAAATTGGTAATTTGTGTACAGTTTCCACCTTCAGTCCCCCAGTTTTTTATGTTTTTTATTGCGTGGGCGGTGATCTGGCAGGTTTATGCCCCTGACATCATCATCGGATGGGGCGAATTCGAGAGAGGTCGTAAAATCTGCGCCATAGAGGGACAGGTTTATGTGCGGAACTAGACGTTTTACGGCCTGGCATTTATTTTTTCTCATTATCTCACTTGGTCAGGCGAAAATCACGCCTTAAATTTGTTATTTCAAGTGCGGCACTTGAAGGGGATTTTCGTCACTTGACTGACTTTTGCTATTTACCATATTTATTAAATAATGCAAAAGAATAGCTCTACTTTTTTAATCTCCTCTGGAAGTCATATAGACAAACCGTGAGTGTGGGCGAACATTTTTCATTTCGCTGAAATATTTTCATTTACTTTGGCGGCCACACATTGAAACCACTGCAACCGCATTTGAAAAACATTTTAAATACCTTTTACATTTTTACCATTTGTTTTTATTTGACCATTTCCCATTTCCCAGTTCACATTTTCCATTTCTGGCAGCGGAAATGTTTGTGTGATTTTTGTGCGAATCCAACTTAGCAGAGCTTTATTTCATTTCGATTCCAATTTCACAGAGTTTCTGTTTCTGTTTCTATGTCGGCTTGATTTCAAATTTTTCAATTTAGTGGCATTTCGCTCTTTGGTGGCATTTTATTTAATAACAGAAATTCTAATTAAATTTTTTATTATTTACCCTTTGAGTTAGTTTTTCCGCCCGATCGCACGCTATATTGATTTCGCTGTTTGTGTTTGCTTTTGGGCATGGAAAAGTGCTCTCCCCAGTCGGTTCTGATTTAATGATTTTCTCACAGCACTGCTAGAGTAAATAGTAAATATTTACCTATTCGCTATTGGCACCCCTCTCTCTGTCGATAAAAAAATACAGAAATCCCTTTTGCCCCGTGCCACTTTTCAATAAAACAATCAGCTGTCAAAAAAATATATAAACAGAGTGGGAATTTTCCGGCGTAATTGGAGCGGGTATTTGTCGCAGGACCACCAAAGTTGATTTGCATGTCATTAGCACAAATCGAATGGTGCTGCAGGCGGCTAAAAATAAATGAGGGTCGGGGTTCAACGGCTGCAACCCTGTAAACAAGCCGCCACTAACAATATCACATGTCATCCAAGGATGAGACGGAACCGGAGGCAACTAATTAGTGTCTGCCGAAGAAAATCCCACAATATTCTATTCTGTAGTATGTGGGCGAAACGCAGTCAATATTGATGTGGCAGCCCGAGGAAAATTATCAGACTCAGACTGCAGATATTTTCCCATGAGAAATGCTTTGAAATATTGGTACCACATGGGAATTTGTCTAGAGGAAACATTTGCACACTGGCAGGCCGAACTTCTTTAGTTCGCCAGTAAAATCAAAGCCCGACAACAGGTGCAAGACAGACCAAATTTTTGGAGCCTGTGCATTTTGCTGTCCTCTTTTTTTTTGGGTTTGCAAGGGAAATGTAAACAAAACTGCCTGGGTTGTAGGTATATTTTGTGGGGGGTGATGGGGTAGTGGGGGGAATATGTGTAAGTAAGCTTTAATGGCCATGGTAACTGTTCGTATTCCGATCTGCCAGCTGCATCCAGCAAGTTGTTGCGGTCCCTTGAATGCCAAAAGTACAGGAGGCGGGGGTGGTGAGCCCACAAACGGCATCGGATGTAGTTCAAATCCCAACAAAATTATTAATATGACTTTAGAGAGCGGGAACTGCTGCTGGGCTGCAGTGGTAGTACTATACCCAAATACACCCCCTGCGGTTTCCAAGACAGCCGACGATGTATCTGCAGGATGCGTTTTCACTCCTGTCTGGGTCCAAATTATGCCTAAGCCCTGCCAACTGCTAGACGAAAAATTATCTCAAATGCAGAGAGAAACATTTCTCATTTATCAGTTAACTAGGTGGATTTTAAATAATCTCTTTAGAAGAGGTTCTTTAAAATATTGAACAAAAAGTATACGCTTTAAATAGACAGATAGATTTTGGTAAGCCAAAAACTTTTTTGTTGGGATATCAAAAATTATTATAAAAATCGTGTTTTGATATATCTGTTATAGAAATATTATAAAATTTATTTTTAAATATCTGCAAAATAAAATCCTTAACTTTTGATCCCGAGCCATCTTTGAATAAAGATATATTTTGCTTTAAAAAGGATTTATAAATTTAAGATTAAAAAGGTAAAAGTAAAAACTTGTATCTAGACAAAGTTTGCCTAGATTCAAATGATTTTACTTATGAAATTTTGGGTTATACCAACAGGTATCTCTTATTTTCATTTTTGTTAAAAAAAATCTGGTTTTTAAAAAAGGAAAGGGTGATATTTTTAGCAGTGCATATGTGTGTTTGAGATACTCGCACTCGGGCTCTAAATTTGCTGCACATTATTTAGTTGTTTGAGGCGAGAGGCGTCTTTGTCTCCTAGCCCGACGATTCTGTTATCTGTTTGTGGTTACGGGATTACGGCTGCAAGGCCCACATCCAGGTGCATACTATATATCTATGGTATAAGTACATATATATAGAGCAGTGGTCTTGAGCACTGCCACGCCCACAACTCGGTAAACGAAACCGCCTCAGCCTTTCAGCTGTGTTTGAACTTCTGCCGAGAGTTCGGACCCTGACTCTGCGCTGAACTTCAAGGTGAGTTGGGGCTTTAGTTTAGTTTCAGATTCAGCTGTATCTGCATCTGGAACATCGCCCAGCATTATCCCCACCTTGTTTACGCATTTGTGCTGCGATTTTTTACCGCTCCTCGCCCTCAACAAGTTTATCGCAGCAACTCGCTCCGACTCTAATTTACATAACCACGCAAATTAGTTTTGCGTCTGCTGCAGTTTTTATCTGCTCCCAACTTTGTCACGACCCTCGCAGTATGCCACGCCCCCTTGCTGAGACCGCCCACCGACAACGCAACTTAAATTTAGTTGCCAAAGTTATTTAAACTTTTCATACCCTTCTCGTTTGGGGCTGTGCAATTATGAGCCGGAGTTTGCCAGGAAGGAAGTTAAGTTGAAATCTTCAGGTGTTAAATGTGAAAGCTTCAGTTTGGAATCTCCGCCTTAAAACTTCCTTTTTGAATGTTTGGGAAAAACTTTAAACTTTAATGACGAACTTAAAGGAAGAACCGCCAAAATAGATATAAAAAGGACTATATTGCTATCAAAAATATAATAAAATTCTAATGCTTTTTATAAAAAGTCTTGAATTTTTTTAAAGTTCCTATATACTAAACTCTTTAAAAACGTGATATAATATGTAAAGATACATTTTTTATTATTTATTTTTATTATTTTTTATTAATGGAAATTCTACAGTTACCGGTTGGCTGGAAAAACAGTTTAATTTTGTAATTTGAAATATTTTTCTTAGATATTCCCAACCACCATGTTCTTGTATGGTAAATTTCATAGATTCTATATTCTTATAAAAAGAGTATAATCCTTCTAGCTTGAACTATCTTGTTTTTCTCATTTTTATTTCACTCTTTAGTAGATCCACAATTTTTTATTTAATTTTTTTTTTACTTTTCGAAAACTGAATTTCATGAAACTTTTTTGGCTGCTGCACCGCGCCCGCAATTTTAATAGACACAGACCCCTTCACCTGTCGGCTGGGCTGAGAATGGGGGAGGGGGTCTTGTCTCGTAGTTAAGACAACAATTCATTTAACATAGAAGCAGACTTCCAGCCTCAAACTCCCCACGCCAAAACTTCACGGCCCCTGCTAACTCGCTCCTTTTTTTCGGAAAAGTTTACTAATGGCCCCCTGGCAGGAGGCACAGTGGTTGGAAAAGCGTTTGCGAAGAGTGCTTATGGTAGATAAAAATGGCACTTGGTGGCTAAGCTCTGTCATTGTACTGCCTTGCCGAAGGAGTTGATTGCGGGCTGGCTTCACTGTACCGGTTGGCCATTGTGCCACAAGTTTTATATGGGTTTATTGTGGGCCTTCCGAAAACAACTGATTGGCAGCCCAGCCAAGGAAAGTTTATATTATTAATGTGCTCCCGAGTTGGGGGGCTGAAAAGGGGGGCTGTTCTGAAACGCGGGTTGCCTTCAGTCAGGCTTCAAATGATGCCTGTTTTCGACAGCCCAGCTAATTGCATTTTTCGCAAATTATAAACAAATAGATTTAGCAACTCAGATATGGAGACTGACGAGATATGATATTCTGCACAGGAAAAGCCACAAGTATTTTAATAATTTCTAAAATTTCCTTTATTTAATTGAACAACATGACAGTTGAAATATCAAAATAATATTTCTGACATTTTAGCTATGTGATTTGATATTTTAAAAAATATTTTAGTAGTAGCAGCACAGAATTTATCCCTAAAATGTACCATCTTTATCAAAATTTGATAGGTTTTTTAAAGGTTTTTCAGGAACATAAATTATTGTTCATGGTAAATTTAATATTAAATTAAATATTTTACGACTTTGTAAGTATTAAAATAATATAGAAGCAGTTTTTTTCTCTGTGTCGTGGCACATTTGCGGTCAGGGGATGCCATTAGCGGATCCAAAACCACTTTTGGGGGCAAAAGGGACCCGAATCGGGTGCAGACTTTAAATAGAAATGTTTCCTGCAATTTGGCAAAGGCGGATCCAAATCAGGTTGCAGGTTGCAACGACGACGACGAGGCTGGCGGAAGTTATTTTTGGAACGTGCAACAGAAAATGTTGCAAATTGAAAGAAAAGTCAGAGGCGACCCCGCCCCCTCTGGCCTGACCCCCATTTTCCGTGGCCCAGTGCCCCGTTTTCCCCCCAATCCACACCCCCTTCTGCCCCCACAACCATATGCTTTTGTGTATTTCCTTCTCGTATTTGGCTGCTATTGCTAACATTTTTTTTTTCGGGCTCTGCGTTCTAAGCGATTTTCAGCGATTTTCTTTGCAAGTTTTTCCGAGAGTATGTATCCATGCGTGTACTTAAAGTTGTCTATTTGCTAGTTGTTGTTACTACTGTTAATGTTGTCTGGCTGTGTGTTTTGTGTGCCAAGAGCTGCATTGAAAATGAAAATGTTCGCACAGTTTTCCGCACAGTTGCATTTTCACTATGCAGCCGCTTGGCGCGGCTCAGTTACTTGATATGGGTTCTCCCTCACCCTCCGCCACACCACCCCCTGGAAAAGTCTGATTTTTTTCGCTGCCTGCAATTTTCTTTTGATTTTTTTCGCCGCCCCTTTCCTTTGTTTGTGTGTGTGTGTGTGTGTCGCCCTCTGTTTTTCCTACTGCTGCACCCATCTTTAGTATCTTGTTGTTTCTATGCTTATCTACTCAGTCGTGCGCTTTGTGCTTCTCAGGATTTTTCCCCCGATTTTCCCCCCGATTTTCCCCCTGATTTTCCTTCTGATTTTCCCATTTTAAATGCGCTATCTGATTTTTTGTTCGGCTCATGCAGCATTCAAAAGCTTGTGACGGAGTTAAAAGTTGAGATTCGAAATGGGGCAGGTCGCACATGTGACTGGTTGGTTGGAGGGGATGTGAGTTGGTTTCTAAAAGGAGCCGGATGAATACTGAAGGACATCAATTTTCAATGCTCTCCATAGAGGCCAAAGGAAGATTTATAGAGATTGCTGGCTGGCTGGGTGGGCAAAACATTTGGCAAATGAATCTTCCTAGTTGCTGGATAATTATGACAAATAACCAAGTAAACGGCATAAGTAAGTAATGCGATAAGAATTTCTGATAAGCTCTCGACTTTGCCCCCGCTGTGGCAATTAGCACACAAACATGAATCATATATATATAGAGTTGCATGGGTTCAGGACTCCCAGGACTCTTAGGACCTGCAGCTCCAGTTGCTCCTGCCACGCCCCCTTAATCCGTCCAGCACCATTCATGCAACTAATTTGATTTTTTTTTGCCCTCCTCTTAGCTTGAAAAGCAAGCTTACTCGAATGGCGGAGGGCAGCAGAAAAATATTTTCATTAGACATTTTGTAAATATGAGCAGCTTTCGTCGGGGATTTCAACTTAAAGCAATGGGAAATGGGGAAATCATTTCGAATAGGAGCAGCTCCTTCGAATTCAACCCGTATAAAGCCAGTTGGAAGGGGGCAAATAGATGGTGCATCTGCTGCCAGAAACGACGACGATGATACGACGCTTTTCCCGCGGCAGCAACAATTTCATCCAATTATGGCAAAGTCCAAATGCGCTTGTAGGAAAATCAGAAATTTAAACATATTTGCTTGGGGAACCAGACGACGACGAGAAGAAATGGGGACCTATTTCATAGAAAAACGTTAAACAAAGTTAATGTGAATTCCTTTTTTGTAAGCAACTTTGTAACCACATTAAATAATTACAATCCCTTGTATTTATAATTTGATATTTATTAAATTGCTTCTTGATGACTTTGTAAAATATAGGGTTTTCCAAAAATATTTCAATCTTTTTTTCAAAGCGGGAACTTAAGTAATTATAACTTTTCTTAAAAAATGTATTCGTATTTTAATATTCATTAAAGAACTCGTTGATTATCTTGAAAAATAAAAGGTTCTCAAAACTCAATTATAAAATAATTACCACTGAGGAAGAATTTATATCTGGTTTCAAAGCGTAAACTTATTTTATTACAACTCTTCTTGACCAATTTAATCATAAATCCAGTGGCGCAAATCGACTCTTGCCTTAGAAATTAACCCCTGCAGAGACTCCAGCTGAAGGACCATAGACTCCAGCCCAACTACACTCCACTTGAAGCCGGCAATCTAATTTAAGTAAATGCTTTTCCACACTTCTCATTGCAGCTCCTCTAACGAGTCCCCGGCGATTGTCTCGTCCTCCGCACCAGCACACTCCGCATTTCCCAGCCGGTTTTTCCAGCTCTGCCGCTTTGCCAGAGGCTTTCGGGTAAGTCCCCAGCTGAAAGATACATTTTTGATTACCCCCGAGCTGCAATTGTTTCATCGGCATCGACGGGATACAGATACACACCTTTTCCTTTCGCTTTTAATTACTGTGGCAAGGTGCGCTCGCCCTGTTTCCCATCCCCAGTTCGAGGACTTTAACAGTTCATAATTAAATGAAAATTCTGCCGTATTATTTCGAGCGTAAATTTGAAGAGTGTGTGTGGGAAATTTTTCGAGATTTCGCACATGTTCGGCACTTGCCACTGGACGAGTCGTGGACTCGTAAATATTCATTACAGTTCCGTATGTTCCACGAATCGCTACTTTCTCGGCTATTTGCATAAAGTTGCCGAAAGTGAATTTGTTTTCTCTCTTTTTCCTCGGCTGCATTCTTAATTAGGCAGCATAGCTGCTGACCTTGGGGTGGGTTTTCCTCCCCACTGGGTGGTATGGTATTTGGCTTTCGTTTTTATGGAACCGCTGCAGCTGTTCCCAGGCCAAAACTACAGACAACACAAATCTGGGCTCAGCTCTTCCTTTGAGTGGCAGCGGAAATCGCATAAAAATGGTGGTATTATTAGGATAGGATGTGAGTTGGGTAGGGGCGGGGCGGAGTGGGGCGTGGCAAGGCTCATCAATGATATTAAGCGTCCTTAATCCTTTTACTCGCCGCGCTTCACTTCATTTGCCAAGGCGACGCAGACATCGAGTACGCCCTCTGGATAAAGGACATGGGCCCTGCACTTGTTGGAGCCCGTTAGAACTCTTTGTGGCGCCTCCAATGGAGGCCGGATAAGCTGCACCCACTCTTCACATAGGAATAGCAGCCTTTGTCCGCCTTTCGGTGGGTGCACTGGGAGAAAATCTCATCTATTTTAGGGCTAATTTCATAGAAATAGAAAATGTGTGGATTAAATAATGTGCATATGTGTTTTATTTTTTTAAAATTTTAAACGATTTGAATTAATAAATGTTATGTGATAAGATAGCTTAAGACTCTATTATTACAATAGGTAGATTCGATTAAATATATCTAATTATGTACCTAGTATGGATTATATATTAGATTACTATAGTAAAATGCTTATTTGTATACCCCCATGTTTTTATAATTTAACTTAAAATTATTCTCAGACTTTTTAACTTTAAGGTAACAAATAATTGTATTTTAATATTATTATATTTGATAAGTAAGAATAATCCTTTGTTCATAGTAGATTATAATTTTGGGATACATCTTTTAATTTGTATTGTACAGGTGTCTTAACAATATTATTCCATTACTAAAAAAATGTTCCAATCATCAAAAATGTGTGTATATTACAGTATTGGGCTTCAAAAACTTATACAACACCTTAAATATTTATAATATTTGTGGGAACATGAAAAGAGCTGTCTTTATTTGTATGGAAAACTAATAAGTCTGTTTATATATAGTCTTATTTCAATATAATCCCCAAGCTTTATGTCATTTAATTATTTTGTAATTTTCGGATAGGCCAGTGATTGTGTTACTATTTTCCTAGTGTGCCTGGGGAGGCACAGCTACAGGCACTCATAACTTTGGCGGCGCCTTTGGTGACGCGAATGCGTTTAGAAAAACTTTCTACAACTTTAAGCCGCTTAGCAGCTTTGTGCTCTCAGCACGCGCCTCTGACTTCGTCCTGCGATCCTTACTCCGCATTTTCCTCCCAGGATTCAGGCTCCATTTCCACTTCCACTTCCATCCAAAGCTCCCCGGGCTGCCCAGTTGCATCGGTCAGCGGCGTTGGCGGCGTTGGTGTAAAATTCCGACACTTTCCTGGACGAAAGTAAGGCCATTAATTTTATTAAACTGGGTGGAAAACTTTGTTTACTTGTTTTCCCGTGCACGTGGCAGAAAAATGCAACATAAGTAAGAGTGTGTAAAACCAATTATGAACATGTTTTCCACAGACTAACAAAAAATCTCTTGATGAAATCCAAAGCTACCGAAAATTAAATAAACGAGTTATTTTCCAGAGTGAAATCACAAGTTTTGATGGCTGCACTTTGCAAGAATGACTAATGAATCGTTGTTGTCTAAAGTGAGAGTGCAAGTATTTACTTGGATTTTATATTTTATTTAAAAATATATTTTGACAGGGAAAATGTCTTAGAAATGAAAATAATATTTTAGGTAAGGATAAATACTTTGAAATAATCTATTGAATATATAAAGGGATGATACTGTGTACAGCATACAGGACATACAAAAATATATATCTCTCAAATAAGGCTGTATAATTTATTTTCGCCAATAAGATTAAATTCCAACGAAGTTGCTAACCGAAGGAGTATTTATTGCATTTCCGAAGATCCTTTCAGATATCGAGTTAAAGTTGTGAATTCCTGATGAATTCAGGAAGTTGAGAACTTAATTGCTCAAAAGTTAGACACCAGCAGCCCGAACACTCCACGCCCCCGCCAAAAAGTGTGCCTAACAACTACAACACAGAGGCACAACAAATAACAAACAACAAACAAGGAACAACATACACAAAACACACATTTGATGGGTATCCTTTTTGGTATATGAGTGTGTGTGTGGTCCAAGGGAGAATTCTACAGATGCCGCGCATTGTTCGGGGGCAACCTTTTTTGGGCCCTTTGATTTATTGGCATCCCCGGGCCAACGCCTTAAATATTTCGCCCTCATTCCCCCCCTCGCCAAATCACCGAGGGTTGGTTGAATGCTTTGACCAGTTGCTCGGATGATTCCATTTCTTGGCCCCCATTCGATGTGGTTCTTCTGCCGTTTGGCCATCCAAATCACGCTTATTGAATTTCATTTTTATACCGGCCTGCTCCTTTTTTGTTGCGTTATTAATGGGCCGCCAACCCCACTCGTCGATTAAAGCAAAAAAAACTTTGGGTGAGCTGTCAAAAGAAATATTTTAAATCACTTGCGTACCCAGAAAATCCCATCGTGGCCCATATATAATAATTTTGCCACTCTAGATGGGGGCAGATGTGTTTTATTAAACATTTTCCGATACGAAGGCTGCACACTGCATAAGCAGCGATTTATTTTATGTCTTCTAAGTGATTTTCCTTTTAGGCCTTACTTTGATGTTTGTCGATCTGTGAAATATGAGTGGACCGTAGTTAAGCTTAAGCTTTCACCCATTTTGGAATGTATTTTTGTATTTTTGGTTGAATACGTATGTATTCAACTTGTTTTGCAATTAAACGCGGTGCAAAACGGTGGTTGCAACAGGTGCATGGCACGCATCACGTATACGCCCCGTGGGCTGCGTGCGTGTTTTATTTATGGGGAATCCCCTTTACAACCATCTCCCCCCCCCCCCTTAAATGCAATAAGCAAATGAGCGAACAACGAACGAGCCAAGCGGCAGCAGCCAAAAAAGCCTCAAGAAAATGACGTTGCACGCACACGACGTTGAAAAGTCATTAAGTACAAATGACGTTGCTCACTGCAAAAAGCCTTTTTCCAGGGGGGGGGGCGTGGCAGTGGGCGGGAAAATTGGGGGGAGGGGGTGCGGGAGCTCAGGTTGCAGCCGTAATTGCAGCACGTTTGAGCACAGCTAACTGCATATTGAGTAATGCCCGCGAGCAAACGACAACGATGGCAGCAGGATTGGTAGCAAGGACGAAAAAGGGTTGAGAAATGGGTCCTCGAATTGGGTGGGGATTGGATTGCCGGGTGTTCTGGGCGAAGCGAAGGCTGTTGCAACGTTTGCCTTGCATTATTTATGACAAAGCGGGCACCAAATTAAGACCCACTGGAAACCAGGCAAGTCGAGCAGAAGTGCTCGATTCGGAAAATGGGCTCGCGACGGTGGTATATTCGTATCATTAATTTAAAGCTTGATTTATACATTCTTAGGGCAGTCTCTAATAAGGGTTTAGGCCTTCGAAGTAGGCACACTTCTATTGGGGTATTATAAAAAAGGTAAAATAATTTTGTAGGCTTATAGTCCCGCTATGGTAATAAAATATATATACTTTTGTATATAACAAATTATTCTCCTTAGTATTATTTTTAAACATTTTAAAAAGTAGAGTACAGTCCTTATATAATGCCTATAAAAAAGGAACTTAGTTTTCTAGCAATCAATAAAATATTTTTGAAGACCCCATAAGTCTTCTAAATTGCCTTTAATGTATTTGTATATATTAAGACATTTTTTTTGTATATTGAAAAGGAACCAGTTAAGGACCTTTCTTCTCCAGTTACCTTTTGTGCAGCCCTGAAATCGTAGCTGTGCCTATGCCGTCGACATCTCAGGATCCCAGGATGCGAGGAGCCATGGGCCCTTGAGTGTGCGGTTGACTCCAGGTAGGGAACCTGTGTGTTCGAGTGCCGGCTCTTATTTACTTCGCGTAATTTAATATTATGCCATGGCAACGATGACGACCATGTCGTGCATCCACTGAAGGCATAAATAATCTGTTGCACGGAGAAATGTCGTGAGTGGGTATCAGGACGTGGCTCCATTTGCTTTTTGATAAGCCCCGCTTAATTAATTCCAGCTTTAAGCAACATGGGCGCCAATCGCTTTTGGCCAAAAAGTCAACTGGCGAATTGGGCAGTTGACACTTGTCGATAAACCCGTCCATCCGTCCATTCGTCCCGTTGTCCAAATCAATTAGGAACCTTTCACGTTAATCGCGCCATATATCAGGCTCTCTATCTCTTTCTATCCACCTCTGGCTATCCCGCTCTAACCCCAATCCCCTCGAGGGCTGTAAACGATACCCAGATCTTGACAAAAGGGCCCGAAAAGGTCGATGACAGGCGGCGGAAGTCGGCAGGGGAAAAAAAGGACAAATCAGCACGCGACATTTTTCGCGCGTTGTTGCTGGTCCTGGATTTTTTCCCTTTTTTTTTGTATTCCTGGGCTAATGAAGGACCCAAAAGGAGCAGAACAAAAGGCGTGAAAGTCAACGAAACCAAAGCCAAAGTGTTAAAGTACGATAAAAAGATTAAAGTGCACAAACAAACACACGCCAAACACTGAAAGAAAAAAGTTAATGTAACATCCGCAGGCAAATTGAGATAACAGGCAGGAATACCCCAAACAAAGACAAATAAGTAAAAAAAGAGAGACATTTTCGGGGCGGAAATCTCAGCAGGACTAGGCAATTGCTAATAGAAAATCGGATCAGATTAGATTTAATGCGGCGACGGCTAATTTCTGGGTGATTTCTCATCGAAACGGGAAAGTGCCAGGACTAAGGACTCAGGACTCAACCCCCTTTTCGAATCTTTGGCGCCATCGCTCCAAAGCAACGGAGAGCTGTCAGCGGCAATACGCCGGCAATGACAGCTAAACAAATGACACAAATGCGGTGGATGTCAGTATGGGGTAGGGTTTTTGGGGCTGGGGGGTTGGGGGTTGCTAGGCTGACAGAGCCACACACACACAGATGGATATATGAGAGCAGCCGAGTATCCGTTATCCACCAGCAAACTGCGAGCGCTGAACGGCGAGCGTCATCAACATTTCCGCTTCCGGCTGTTTATGCTAAAAGTATGGCGACGACAACGCCACTGATGGGTGGGTGTAGATCAGGGTGGAGATGGAAATGCCCTCCCGCTGAGCTGTCAGACGCCTTGGCTGCCACCGGATTTTCTGCTTTTTTTGCTGCCTTCTAGATGAGCAGGCATCTATCATGTTGGGCCCAACTTTCGGCCAGAGTTCGGCAGCTCCCCAGTGCTAACTAGGGCCGTCAAACTACAGGAAACTATTGATTAGGCGGCAATCTGGCAGAGCAGTCGCTGTGATTCTCGCCCTCGAATTATTTATCGGAACTGCACTTCAAGATTTAATAACTTGAGTTATTGGATCCCTATTTAGGCGTAGGATACCTCTATGAGTTTGTGGTCGAACTCTCTAATATTCTACATTCAAACATCAACATTAAAAGAGGGTCAAAATTGTAGCCCATTTTCATGTCCGATTTTTCCGTAATTCCAATGGCTTTCAGAATGGTACCCCAAAACTGCACTTCTAAACTCCATAACTTTAGTAATTTGATTCCGATTTTGAAGTTTGATACCTCTATGAGTTTTTGGTTCAATTCTCTAACATTCCACATTTAAATATTCCCTTTCAGAGAGGGTCTAAGTTTTAGCGCATTTTCATGTTCGATTTTTCCGAAATTCCAATGGCTTTCAGAATGGTACCCCAAAACTGCACTTCCAGATTCCATAACTTTAGTAATTTTATTCCGATTTTGAAGTTTGATACATCTATGAGTTTGTGGTTGAATTTTCTAACATTCCACATTTCAAAATTTTACCCCATTTTCATGTTCGGTTTTTCCGTAATTCCAATGGCTTTCAGAATGGGACCCCAAAACTGCACTTCTAAATTCCATAACTTTAGTAATTTGATTCCGATTTTGAAGTTTGATACCTCAATGAGTTTGTGGTTGAATTCTCTAACATTCCACATTTAAATATTCCCTTTGAGAGAAGGTCTAAGTTTTAGCCAATTTTCATGTTCGATTTTTCCGTAATTCCAATGGCTTTCAGAATGGGACCCCAAAAATGCACTTCTAAATTCCATAACTTTAGTAATTTTATTCCGATTTTGAAGTTTGATACCTCTATGAGTTTGTGGTTGAATTCTCTAACGTTCCACATTTAAATATTCCATTTGAAAGAGGGTCTAAATTTTAGCCCATTTTCATGTTCGTTTTTTCCGTAATTCCAATGGCTTTCAGAATGGGACCCCAAAACTGCACTTCTAAATTCCATAACTTTAGTAATTTGATTCCGATTTTGAAGTTTGATACCTCTATGAGTTTGTGGTTAAATTCTCTAACATTCCACATTTAAATATTCCCTTTGAGAGAGGGTCTAAATTTTAGCCCATTTTCATGTTGGATTTTTCCGTAATTCTAATGGTTTTTAGAATGGGACCCCAAAACAGCACTTCTAGATTCCATAACTTCAGTAATTTTATTCCGATTTTGAAGTTTGATAACTCTATGAGTTTGTGGTTAAATTCTCTATCATTCCACATTTAAATATTCCTTTTGAAAGAGTGTCTAAATTTTACCCCATTTTCATGTTTGATTTTTCCGTAATTCCAATGGCTTTCAGAATGGGACCCCAAAACTGCACTTCTAAATCCCATAACTTTAGTAATTTTATTCCGATTTTGAAGTTTTATACCTCTATGAGTTTGTGGTTGAATTCTCTAACATTCCATATTTAAATATTCCCTTTGAGAGAGGGTCTTAATTTTAGCCCATTTTCATGTTCGTTTTTTCCGTAATTCCAATGATTTTTAGGATGGGACCCCAAAACTGCACTTCTAGATTCAATAACTTTAGTAATTTTATTCCGATTTTGAAGTTTGATACCTCAATGAGTTTGTGGTTGAATTCTCTAACATTCCACATTTAAATATTCCGTTTGAGAGAAGGTTTAAATTTTAGCCCATTTTCATGTTCGATTTTTCCGTGTTTTCAATGGCTTTCAGAATGGGACCCCAAAACTGCACTTCTAGATTCCATAACTTTAGTAATTTTACTCAGATTTTGAAGTGTGATACCTCTATGAGTTTGTGGTTGTATTCTCTAAAATTCTACATTTGAGTATTCCTTTTAAAGGAGGGTTTAAATTTTAGCCCATTTTCATGTTCGATTTTTTCGTATTTCCAGAATGGGAACCCAAAAATGCACTTTCAGATTCCATAACTTGAGTTATATAAGGCCGATTTCGTAGTGGGATACCTCAATGAGTTTGTGGTTGAATTATTTACCATTCTACATTTGAATATTCCTTTTAAAAGAGGGTCAGAATTTTAGCCCATTTTCATGTTCGATTTTTCCGTAATTCCAGAATGGGAACCCAAAACTGCACTTCTAGATTCCATAACTTGAGTTCTAAGATCCCGATTTAGACAAGGAATACCTTTATGGATTTGTGGTTGAGCCCTCTAATATTCTGTATTAAAATATTTATTTTTAACGAAGGTCCAATTTTAGACCCACTTTAATGTTTGATGGGATCGACCAACTGTACATCTGCTTGGTTTAGGCTTTGCCCTTTTTTAATACTTTATCTCAATGTTTCTGTAACTAGAATCGAAATATAATGAACTTAAAAAAAGTCTAACAATAAGACAAAACAGTCAAGCATCCATTAAAACAATCTTAATTAAATGCGAAGCAAATAAATCAAGGAGGCACTTCAAAGCCATTGGTGGCAGGAACCTCGGTTCCGCTTTGGCTTTTGAAGCTGTAACCAGACGGCAAAGGACACGGCCAAGGAAGTGCCAGCTATCAATCACAATGTGCTCACACAGATACACTCACTCACGCACACACAGAGACAAACAGGGGGAAATGAAATAATTATGCTTAGCTGGCAATCCCGTTGCCATAGAGGTCCTTTCGGGGGTCCCGGGTCCTTGGAGCGTCCTTTGGCGCTCTGGTTTCATTTACATGATGATGACATCTCTGCTTATAAATAATTACACACACGCACTGCGATGTTGTCGCATACATTTTGATATTTAATTTTTATGTTTTTGTTATCTGCCAGGCAAAAGGTAAATATTCCTAGCTTGTTCCTTTGGTTCCTTTGGTTTGCTGGCGGATTTTTACATATTTATGAGTGGCACAGACGACTGTTTCCCCGGGGGGAATAAAAGCAGGGCAGCGCGGGGGTAGCGCTGCTGGCTCTTCCAACTAATTGAAAACTAAAATGTCAATGGCAATCTCATCATCCGCCAGCCAGGATCATTCTGTTCGACCAGACACGCCACTCACTCGCCGCCCGGGGTTATGAAATCTGCGCTTTAAATATGACAGGCAAAGGAAAAAAAAGAAATACTGGATAAAGGGTAGGCAAACAGCCCGATTTTTGCAACTCCAACGCGGCTAAGCACATAAAACGGCTTTTCATTTTGAGGGCCGGGAATTGTATCCCCATCGCTTCGGGCTCCAGTCTCACAAACTCTATATAGTTCCGTCCATATAGCCTTAACTCCATCTCCCAGGCTCTGGTTTCCGACCACGTTTGATCCTAATGTGCTGCTGTCATGGCCTGTCGACGTCAGCCGGACTCTCGCCGGCTATTTCGGGGATTAATGTCAATGTGAAAGGATTTTTCCAATGCATTGGAACTCAACTAGCGCCCTTCTCGCCCTGCTTCTAAGTAGCATTTCCATTCACATTCACTCAGAGAAAGCGCTGGAGATTTGGACATGAATTAAGAATACTATGTGGGGGAGTGGGGGAATTAATTTCTTAAGGGAGTTAATTTTTGAATAGAAATAGAGATGTCAAAAATTCGAAATAATAAATTTACCATGAAGTGCTAAAATAAAAATTATATATATGATGTCCATGCCCATTCACTCTGAATTATGGATTTCAGTCTTTAATTAATAATTTTATAAAGGCGAAGATGGACCTTTTAGTAAAACTGTGTTGTGTTTTCTGAATGGGTAATCCGATGCCATAAAATGCCTTAAATTGTTAAAATATAAATTAAAATAAATAGATTTTTCTGGTACGAATTGAAAGCTCAATTAAAGTAAAGTATTTTTCCGAGTGTTTCCCTTTCGGCACCCTAGCAGTCCTGTCCAAAAACGTTAACAAAATCCAGCAGAAAACTTCCACACTCGCAGACACAAGTACCTACACTCGCTAACACAGAAAGGGGATAAAAACCGGAGACCATGGCCAAAAAGGAGGAGCCCCTTATGGACGGGCCCAAGCGGATGAACCGCGAGTTGGCCCTGATGCTGGAGGACAAGCAGAACCTGCAGTTCCGCAACTTGTGGGTGGAGCCGAATAACATCTACAAGTGGTCAGGGCTTTTGATGCCGGTTGCTCCGCCATATGACAAGGGCGCCTACAAAATGGAGATCGACTTTCCACTGGACTATCCATTCAAGCCACCCCGCATCCACATAAATACCAAGATGTACCACCTGAATGTCAACGAACGTGGACAGATTTGTGTGCCTATTCTGGAGATCGAGCACTGGATCCCCACCACTCGGATCGACCAAGTCCTGCAGGTTCTGCTGGCCACTATCAACGATCCGCAGCCGGAAAATGCCTGGCACATGGAAATGGCCGGGGAATATCGTAATGATCCGGTCAGGTTCTTTAAAATGGCCGATGCCTGGGTCCAGAAGTACAGTGAACGCCGGCCCACGGAAGAGGAACTGGCTAAGTTCGCCCGCAAGCGCAAAAAAGCCATGTCGAAGGATTAGAAGTTAAATTGTGTGAACTGATTCTAAGGTTCATAAGTTATAGGTGATGAAAATTAAATGGGTAAACTTAATATGCCAGACAGTAAATTAAAAAGTGTAAAAAATAAACTATAATGTATGAAGATATTAGAAAACGAGCTTTCAGAACAATGTTTTGATGACATATCATGTGATTACACCGAGCTACACTGTTCGTGTGGCGGTAGAGAATAGGAAAAACTTTTTAAAACAATCGCAGCAAAAAAGTATCAGACCGCTTCTCTAAAGATATGTATTTATTGTTATATTGTTTAAATGCTTTATTTGTTTAAGAAATTTTTAATTTTTAAGTGGATTAAGGGCTTGGGTTTTATGAACAAAGTTAGTAAATGTATTTACATAAATCAATAAAGTGTCTGGGGTATGCCTTACTCTGTAATCAATATAATAAACTTCCTAAGCATTCATTCCTCTGATAATGGACTCACTAAATGTTTATTCCCTAACATGAAATAATAAACTTTATCGACTTTATTGAATGTAGAGGCTTAGCGCCTTTTATGCTCCATTCCCCGAACTCTATTAAAATCGCATTTGAATCTGGTGTATTGCCCCAATCAACGCCCATTTATCGATATATTATATCCGCCGCCAATTGCTGGAAATTGAGTTGAGGGACTTTCTCGATTGAGTCTCCCATGGAGCGGCGTCTTAAATTGCCGGCGAAGCTTTGTTTTCGCCCCCGTTTGAGGCATCGTGCGTATGGCCATATGACCATCTAATTGGAAGCGTACAGTGAGCCCCAAGCGGAAGGCTGGCAGGACACTTCTGTGGCAGCCAGCTGCGAGATAAATCATCCGCCTCGGCGGCAAACAAGGATATGCCCCACGCGGCGTCGCTCAGCGAGCGGGCGGCATTAGCTGCCAGTGTCATTGCCATTGTCAGCGGCATATCATCGTCATCCTCATCGTCCTCATCCGCATTCGCATTCGCATTCCCATCCAGATCCACATCATCCGCATCCGCATCCGTATTCCTATTCCAATCCGCATCAGCGTCAAAGTCCTGCTGCTGAACCGCTGAAAATCCGTGCTGTGTCCGGGGCCATATAAATTTCAGCAATGAATGAATCAACTTTACGAACACCGAGGACACATGTGACTTGCTTTACGGCCCCCACCGCCATCCTTCACACTTCTGGCACTGAAAAAAAAACTATATTATCAAGAAAATATTTATATGTGCAAGGGACTTAAAGATATGTTCAAGCATTAAAATTCAGTTTTGACTCTTTAATAAAATGTATTTTATAAATATTTTATATATTTATTTATTTTAAAGTTTTTAATAGAACTACAAAAGGAAGATTAATAATTTCTTTATAAAGGTTTTAATAATTTTTAAAACTTTTGACTAGAAAATTAAACTAGCGCATCATATCAAATTATACAAAGCTGGGTAGAAATAGGATCTTAAATGTGCAACACATTAAATAATCGTTATAATCTTTAAAAGACATTATATTAAAAAAACTCATAAAAGTATTCAGGACTTCTAAGTCAAAATTACATAAAACTGGTTAAAAAAATGACCTTGAGTCTATTATTTTCTATATAATAATAAATTGCTAAAAACAAAGTGGCTAAAGAAAGTTATCTATGTTTTGTATAAGTACCTCCCAAAAATATTTATTTATTATCAGTAATATTTTTAGGGCAATATCTTAAAGTCCTCACATATTTCTCCCCGTGTATATCTTTATGTGTGTGCGTTTAATGTGCCTGTGTGTTTTGGGCAGTTCACTTGATATGCTCACTCACTCTCTATCTGCGACCAAACTTGGACTTGTCAATGGCAGAAGTGGGAGTTGGGAGCTGGCTGCTCGAATCTGGGATCTGGAATATGGAACCAGGGAGCCGGGAGATGGGCGATGGGAATAAGCTGCCACTATAATTACAGCAAAGGCCAAAGGCACACACAGCCCGGCTAAAGATATTTGTATCTAGTTTCTTTACTGCTGGATTTACTGCCCAAACGGAATGGGAAGTGCTTCAAGGGAGTGGGGATGGGGGTTGGGCCTGGGGTTGGGTCCAGATAACTGGTGTCCGGAGCAACCATTGTGAAGATGGATTACCATGGCGGCAGCGTCAACAGTTTTTCTATGTGCGAGCATGTTTGAGTGGGCGGGGAGGGGCGGTGAGGGGCGGTGAGGGGCGGGGCGGTCGAGGCGTGTGTCTTGTTAAAACTGCCAACTGATTATTATCACCTTCCAACTGGCAGGCCAGTCATTGACACCCATTGCTGCCGTCGTCCTTCAGCTCGGCCATCGAGGATTCGCGATTGTACACTCAAAAAACTGAGGGAAATTAAATCCATATTAATTTAATTTTGATTTTTCTGTTAAGCGAACTTCTATGTAATAGTCAACTTATTTTAAGGCACGAAATTATTTTTTTCAATCGTTGAAAGGATTTTTGTTCTTTCTCCCCAAGTTTTAAGGACCATAACAGAACCATTTTTAATGCTGGTTATGTTTATATTTTGTTCTATTATTATAATATATATTATACATTATATATATATTATAAACTTATTTAGTTCAAAGAGCTTGTCAACTTGTGAACTGGTCTCCCTTACCTTACATTCAAATGCCTGAAATTTAAAAATTTTGAAATAATATTACAATCTGTTTAGGAATTCAAAAAATTGATAAATTCAAATATTCCTTTAACAATATTAAATTTATTTATTTTTTTTTTTTTAATAAATTTGTAGCATTTTTTTTGGTACAGTCCCTGATGCTGGAGCTCAAACTTCTCGGACTCGAACTCGGCCACGCCCACCGCCCGAGTGGCGCCCTCTAGTGTCTGTCACTGGCAGAAGTCGTTTGCTGTTTGCTTTATTTCTCTTTCCCTTTCTTCATCTCCATTTCCCTTCCCACTTTCTCCGCCCACTTCATCCTGCTCTGCGGCAATGAATCGCAGTTTTTGATTAGCTACAGACAGCTGAAAGGACGAAGGACGAATTATATAACCGTGGCAACCGCTCAGAAGTTTTTCCTTTGTTTTTTTTACATAATTCAGACGTTACTTAATTACTGTTTGCCAAAACGAAATTAGGAACCACAAAAACAACAACATTTGGAAATGAAATTTGTTTCTAATCCTAAAATCCAAAATACCATTTCAAATTTCATATCAGCTTTCACATTTTTGGCCTTTAATTAAACAACTTTGAAAACACAATCAATTCGTATAGTTTAAAGTTAATTTGCTTAATTTGTGCAACAAAAAATGATTTAAGCCAAATGTAATAAAGCTGCATAAATGGTCGATCGATTTTGCATTCATTACCAAAAGACGGCGGGTGGGCGGTGTTTTATAACAATTTACGACCTGCTACCCATAAAATATGCGGCTTATAAACTGCATAATTTACACAGGACCTCACACACACACAGAAATACAATATATGGACAAACAAAGTCAGATTGAGATATGAAGCATTGTTAAATCATATATGAACTCGGTGGGCTGCTGGGCCAAAAGTGCTTATAAGTAAATAAATGCTGCCACATGGCAAATTATACAGATATTGGGTGGAATGCCGGTGCAATTACAGGTGCAGATGCAGATACTCAGATACTTGGATACTCAGATACTCGGATAGCAACTGCTGCAAAAGAGAGCTTAAGCTGTGTGCGGGGATTTCTGCTTTTGTTTTCACTGCAGCGGTTTTCTGTCGTGCGCTCTGCTTGTAAAACCAATAAAATCAATTAAAAGGCACTCAACATGCAAACAATTATATGCAAATTTATTTATACACACACAGCCAACTAGAAGCACGCAATGCCCATGCAGTGAGAGCAGAGAAAGCAGTTCGCAGGTGGAGTGAAAGTCAAGCTGAAAACGGTTTTATACCTGTCAAGTGCTTGCTAGTTGGGTATATTGCGCTCGCAAAAATGCTGGGGATATCTAAGTCCTTAAAGAATAAATCCTTTAGAGGAAGTTCGGGTTACCTGTATAAGCTTCTTGCAGGAAAAGTATATATATGATATATGTATGATATATGATATAACAACATCTCAAAGTTCCTGTTTGAAGTTTAAAATATTTTATTCTTATTTTGGGTATGGATGCATATATTACCATAATAGTTTTATGTAAAGTTAAATAAAGTTAAAGGTATAAAATTAAGACATGGACTTAGGTATGTCATGAAAAAATAAATATTATTATGATGATAAGAAGGACAATAAATAAAAATATTAACTTCTAAAATAAAACAAATAATACTTTTCATGATAAAAATAAAATAGCAAATAACAAAAAAACATGACAGTTTTTATCAGAACACGTCAATCTCTCATCCTTATAAATTGTTTAAATTTTCTATTGAAATTATACAACATTTAAAACAATATTTCATCCTTAATTCAGTAGTGAAAAAATTAAAAAAATGAAAACATCAGTTTTTACTGGGTATCAAAAATTCGTAATACTTAGCAGTCGAAAATCCCCTAGTATTTGCATATGCCGTAGAAAAAAGCCCGCAAATAAATATAAATATACAAGGACTTCTGGCCAGCAGGAAAAATAAAGCAAAATGGCAACAAGGAAAACAACAACAAAGCAGCTCAAAGCAAAGGCAATGAAAACACAGGAGGCGGGGAAAAGGGGGCGGTGCCAAAGGGACGAGGAAAAGCGGGCAGAGTGAACCTGTTGCGCACAACAACAACAATCCGCACGAAACAAACAACAAAAGCAGCAAAAACAACAAAGCCAGGACAAAGGTCCTGTGAAAATTCACTGCTTTCCGAGAGAAGAAACGGAATGGCATGGAAATGGAACAAAATCTGGGAGCAAACAAGCAAAGAGAGCGGTTGAACAGACGATTGAAAGGCTGGTTGAAAGAAAGAGCAGCCGTAAAGAGCGCACAGATGAGCTGCGCATGCGCTGAGCGAAAGTAGAGCAGCCAGCCAAGGAAATTGAAAGGGAAACGAGCGGAAGAGAGGGGAACGCTTGGGCAGCGGAACAGTTGATAGCTCAATTGGCGCTGCTCGAAAAAGGGAAAAATCGAGGGGGTGGGAAAAATGGGAAAAGAGA